TGGACGGCTGAACAAAAAATATTGTTGAAAACCAAACTGCCCTTGATAACAATGACAAAAATTAAGATTAGCTGGACATGTGGGTGGAGGTCACTGAAGTTAAACAGTCTGTCTGTCGAAAACATATACACAACTTTCTAACACGCCCTTTAGTGGTCTCAAGAAAGACAGCTAGTTTCAGTTTCACATGTAAAAGATTTGAGCTCAGAAAAAAAGACTGCCGGAAATATATAACAGAGAATTTCATTGTCAAACAATTTACCACTTTGATTTTTAATGTTGTTATGTTTTGGTAAATGGTTATAGTCCAGAAACCCAAATGTAAATGGTTTTCTTTGAGAGCAGAAAACAATCTGTGCAAATTGTTGACGACATATAGACATGGTAAAGCAAAGGTACACCCTTTCTCAGTTCTAAAGTTTTACATACCAGCACATAATAAAAAGTTATTGACATGCGGTAAATACAACCTGAGATGCACAACAACACATTAGTTTAACTGAAACTAAGCCAAAATGAAGAAATAGTGTGTAGAAAGCTTATCAAACCGCCTTTAGCAGCAATAACTTGAGGTTGACAGCTGGAATTTGACTGGGCCTTTGCAACACCTTAATTTTTAGCTTTTCTGCAATGTTGTAGATTTGCTGCTGTTCTTGGGATATTATTTCAGCCAGGCTTTAGTTGTCAAACAAATCGCCTCACATTTGACTCTGGAATAGTTTGATAAATAACTGCAAGGTGTCCAGGTCCTGTGGCTGCAAGCCCAAATCATCACCCCTCCACCACCGTGCTTGACAGTTGGTGTTTGTGCTGATCTGCTGTGTTTGGGTTTCTCCAAATGTGGCGCTATTACCAAACATCTCTCATCTGTAAAAAGGACATTGTTCCAAAAGTGGTTGTGGTTTGTTCAGCTGCATCGTTGCAAACCTAAGCTGTCTTTCTCTGTGCAACCTTTCCAAATAAGCCCTTCTACAGTCTTCTTGTAATTGAACTGTCATTAACTCAATTTTAACATTTAACGTGCTAACTTATGCCGGTAGAATCTGAGATGCAACAGTTGCTTCTGTAAGATCACTGATTGTGTCATTCCTCTTTGGCTTTGTGTTAGCACACACCTGAGTGCTACAGACTAACAAACTGCTTTTATAGAGCGGGTGATTATCGAGTCCTGACTGCTTATCCTCTTAAATTCACTGGAAACAGTAAGGTGTACATAGTTTTTCACACACACTGTTTCGGCATTTTGGCTTAATGTTTCTTGAATTAAAAAAAGACACTGTGTAGTATGTTTTATACTTCATGTGAGGTTGTATTTACCTCAGTGTAAGACCTGCTAGGACAGATTATGTTTTTTATGTCCTGATATTTAAACCTTTTTTTCTTTTTCTTTTTTTTTTTACCATGACTACGTTTTCCGAGTTTATAAGAAAATATTGAGTCCTACAACTAGAATTTCACCTTTTTCCATCACATTTCACTGCTGTGGTACCACAGCAGCCAACCGTTAATGCATGGCTTGATAACACTAGTGATAGATTGGCAAAACATTTTTTGAGATCTTATGTCCTCTTTCTAGCTTTTTACTGCTGTTTTTTTAACCATCTCCAAGATCTCATGGTGATAAAGTGCCCAATCCTACACCATGGCATTGCACCAATATGCAATACCAGCAAGTTTCTCCAAGTCCAGTACATCAGTGGCAGTGACCAGAAACTACAAGAAGAATATTTCTTACAGTATTAACTTAAAACTGGCTGTTTTGGTGCAATGCCACTTTGTGCTCTCAAGAAATCTCAGATGTATGATGTATGTGCTTTTTATATGTGTGTCGATTAACTTCATTTAGTCACAAAACACATCTGAATACACACACAAAACTTACAAAAAATCAAAAGTTTATCAACTATTACAAGATTACAAATTACAAATATGCCCAAAATACAAAATAAGACTGCAGCCACCAGTTGCAGACGTTGTCAAGAGATTAAGAGCCCAGGAATATCATGGACTACAACTAGGTCTTTAATCTAGACTTAAAGACAGCAGCATTTGGAGGATTTGTAACGGACACAGGAAGTTGGTTCCACAATTGTGGAGCTGCAGTTGAAAAAGCCCTGTCACCTTTCTGTTTGAAATGAGAACTGGGAATGTAAAGGCAGAGTTTGTCTTTATTTAGTTATTTTTTTTAAAATATCTTTGCTGCCTGAATGCGACCTCCCTCAAGTCCTGTACAGACACGAGCTGTTGGGATGAATGGAAACAAATGAGAGTAATAACACCTGGGGTTGGGAAAAGTCTTTTTACATTCCACTGTTTGTTTTTTGTCTACTGGATGTGTGTGTGTGTGTTTGCACCGTGGTTGAATGTCAGTATTTGAACTTATGTTTGTGTGATTGTATTTACTGTGAGTCCCTGTGTGTATATCTGCACTAAGTTCTATTTTGCCAGTTTAATACTGAACAGCATTCTTTGCTGTTTTTATTCTGTATGAATCCAGATGTACAGAGAAGTATGTTCTTTTCTTCTTTTTTTTTAAGTTGTCACTTCTTTGAGAATCACTGCACTTGTTGACGATGATGCTGGAACAAACCTCTCTTCACAGCAGGCTTATTTTCCTCATGTTTGGAGGACATTTAGATCTCTTATACATGAGCTGAGAGTGAAGGTCACAAGAAAAAAGCTTTACAACAACCATAGATAAAAGTTGCTCCATTTGACCGCCATACACCAGATTTTCAGTTTAAACAAAAGCAGCTGAAGACGTTTTTCCTCTATGCCCTATCTTGCCTCTCTAAGTGGACCAATCTAATTCACCAAGGCCAAAAAACGAAGGGTTGCTCCTTCACGTCACAGCTGATGCTCCCTCAAAACACCCCCATTGTGCACACATGCTTTCTGGCACAAAGTATTCTGTGTGTGCCTTATGAACCCCGTCACGCCTTGCTCTTCACCATATGCGCTCCCTCTCCAAGTGTCAGGAAGGGAGGAGGGGGGGAAAAAAGGTGAGACAGGAGATAATCATCACCTCTTTGCTTCACTGTTAGCTACATCTCAGGTCAGAGCAGAGCCTTGGAGCATCCCAAAATAACCACCTCTCATATTCATCTGTCTGTCCTGATGTACTGCCCTGCTGACAAAGCATTACATTCCAAAGGCTTAGTGAAAGTCAATCGATGCAATTTAAATATTGGTTAAAGATCAGTCAGGGTTTGATACATTTTTTTAAGAAATCGAGCTAAAATTGTCTTTCTACACTCGTCACTGGCCAAAAACCAAACACTGGTAAAGTTTACTGGACAAGCTCGCATTTCTGTTTTAGGGCATTCTCTTTAGGGACTGCTTGAGACAAAGAGAGGTTAACCAGCAACATTTTAATTTATATACTGACTGTATAAAATGATTGTGAAAATGTTCTGTATGGAGAAAAAAAGAGAAAAAGAACCATCATTACTAATGGGGTTGTAGATATCTATCCTTGATATCACAAATCCGCCTGTTTCACTCCCTTTCTCTTTGTAGTTACACATCCGTGGGGTGCACAATGTTAAATATTGACCATTTATTTTTTTGAAATCTGTACAGTGTATATAATGATATAAATGTATATATAAAACAAAGATACTTCTGGTCTGGTATTGTTATGAATTTTTCACATTTTCTTTTATTTATATTACTTTAACTCACACGTGTATTTCACAGTAATAGTTAATTCAGTCTTTATTTTAAGTTTTTGATTACTGGCTACCAGGGTCAGGAGCAGACCATACGTGCTGGATGGGCAACCAACTTTGACACTGGGGGAGGCATTTGGCTCAAGACAGCAATATATGATAGTACAGTCATGGAGACATTTAGCCACAACTCTAAAAGTGCAAAAATATCTATCTTAGATTGCAGAGGCAAAGGGGGAGACAAACAATAGAGACTTTTTCTCCACACAGTAGGATGGGTGATTGTGAGCGCACAGTGTCATCAACACATTTACATTTGTTTCGCAGTTTTTCAGTAGAGTCGTGCTTTGAAACTAGTTCCCAAAGCCTGACCTGCATCGATCTATCTGCTCAGTGTCCTCCTCAGAGTCGTGCTGATTTCCTCAACTCATGCAGAAGCACTAAACTACTGTGCTCACATTACAGTAACTTATCTGTGATATTTCAGTTTTTCATTACCAAATTGTAAGAATTAGTGTAACTTATAGTTGAAGTGCATCAGTAAAATGCAGCTGAGGGGGCGTAGTCACTCTTTTAGGTGGGCCTAGACCCCTGAGATCAATGGCCACTTCTTGCCAGTAGTGTGTTGGACCTTTGCTTTTATAACTGCCTTGTCTTTGTGGCATAGATTGAACAAGGCGCTGTGAACATTAATTAAAAATGTTGGTCCATGTTGGCATGATAGCATTACACAGTTGCTGCAGATATGTTGGCTGCACATCCATGATGTGGGTCTCCAGTTCCACCACATCCCAAAGACGCTCTATTGATGGTGATCTGGTGATTGTGGAAGCCATTTAAGTCATGTTCAAGAAACTAATTTGAGATGTTTTAAGCTTAGTGTTGTGATGTGTTATCCTGCTGGCAGCATCCGTCAGAAGATGGATACAGTGTGGATATAATGGAATGGATATGCTCAGCAACTCTTCTAGGCTATGGTGTTGGTGCCAAGAAAATGCCTTTATGTTGTTGCCATATGCTGACCCATCTGAATGTCAGAGCAGAAATCAAGACTCAAAAGGCCAGGCAACATTTTTCCAACCTTCTGTTGCACAGTTTTGATGAGCCCATCTGACTTGTAGCCTGAGATTCCTGTTCTTAGCAGGCAGGAATTACAACTGCTGTGGTCTTCTGCTGCTGTAGCCCATCTGCTTCAAGGTTCAACATGTGCATTCAGAGATGCTCTTCTGCATA